ATAAAACCTCTGTGAGAATATGTTTTTGCACTTGTAACCCTATTATAACTTTTACGATAACCGGCGATTTGATGCAACTCACCCTAAATAAACAAGAAATATGACTAGAGTAGAGTTTAAATTAAATTTTATAAATTAATTAATTCGTAAAACATATTATTTTGATATCTTAATACTATGGCATTTAATCATTTCTATCAGGATTCATTGATCGACGATAAGACGCCGTGTCCGCCATGTTGACGTGCAAGCGCGCCATTTTGAGTTTTTGTTTTTTTAATTATTGGAATGCAAAAAGTCAATGACGTTCTGCCAGGGTTAATATGATTTATTTAATACTAACTTTTACCCGCGACTCTGTTCTTGTGGAATTAAAAAAAAATACAATAATAAGCCTACGTGTGTCAAATTTAATCGAGATTTTTTTCAGCAGTTTAGGTTACAAACTCTAACAAAAATCATAATATTAGGAAATGCTTTTTTTATTTGTTAGTTGGTTTGTCAGCATCAAGTTGCCCTTATTCCTACCGAGGGTCGGCACAGTATGTGATTTTCTATACACTTCTATCAGCCATATCTAAATTCCCTTCCTTCTTAAGCTCTTCTTTCACACAATCCATACATTTCTTTGGCCTTTTTTATTTCTTACGGTAGTAAACGAGCTAGCGGCTACATGAATACAAACTGGTGAAGCGACTGCCCATAGACATTCGCAATAGCGAATACGTTGCCTACCCTTAGACGGAGGAGACTCATATAAACATGATATTTCTTCTTCCCCATCATCTTGTAAGAAAAAGCGTGGAAAGGAAAAGGGACTATAGTTGGGCCTTCCTCTACATTTGTGTGCATTAAAAATATTGTTCAAAGTATTTGTAGTTTTTAACCAAAAAATGTCTTTAAAAGCACATGGTTTATAAATTGAATTCCGATTTCAAATTACCAGTCCGGTTTTATAATTTTAACAGTGGCAGAGCCCGCTTTAACATCTTCGCACGAATGGGTCGACTCGCCCCCAATACCACGACCACACAGAAAACAGGCGTTAAGTGGAAGCAATTCCGCGTTTCGTCTGATAAGTGTGGGCCAGGAGGCCTAATTCTAGTTCCTTTCCATCCTTTTCTTTAGAGGAAAGGATGGGACGGAAAAGTGTATTTGACCGCAGAGACGCATAGGAAGGGGAAATTTCCTCTTTATATGCGTCTTCGTCAATTAAGGGTAGGCAACGCTGAAATTGCGGATGTTTATGGGCAGCGGTCGCTTTACATTTGGAACAGGTGGCCGCATGCTCTTTTGCCACCTTATATTATAAAAAATAAAAATGTTTTGTTTTCTTTGTCACCAGGATATGGATCTTATCGAGGTGTTGTGGAAGCAAGATGTGGATATGGGTTTCTCCATCGAAGACCCTGTGCAACCGGTGAGTGGAATCTATACCCAATATTCTACATAATACGGCTTATTTCTTGAATAAATTATGACACTCAGGGGAAATTCTGTGTTTTCTTTGTATTAAATTATACATTTTCCTAGGAGGGACCTCAAGCAACTAAAGTGGAACTGCAAGATGAGATCGCTAAAGAACTGAAGCTCGCGGAAGAGAAGATCCAGAAGAAGATAGAGGAGACGGAGAAGATAGAGAAGGTGAAAGCGTCGCTACTTGATCCTGACTCTAAGGAGGTAATTATTACTAGTTGTTGCCCGCGACTTTATTCGTTTAAAATAGAAAAAAAAGGACTTCAGTTATATTCTTTAAGCCGGAACAAATGTGAACTATGGCGTTACTTTTAACTAGTTTTTTCTCGCGACTATCTTCGCGGAATAAACGCTTAAATTAACTTATGTTCTTCAAGTTATGTTCTACATTTGGTTAACGTTATAATCCGTTAAGCTTGTATGTAGTAACAATCCATCCATCCAAATCCTATGATTCTAGAAAGTTCTCTCTTCCTCGAATCCGAAAGATTGGAATAAACTGAAATACTCTTAACTAGGTTTCATCCGCGACTTCGTTTGCGTGGAATTAAAGAAACAAAAGCAGTCTATGTATTCCACTATCCTCTATTGACAAACATCGAGATCCGTTCAGTTTTGGCTACAAACTTACATCTTAACTTTTGCATTTAGAGAGATTAGTAAGATAGACTGTTTTTTTAACTACTAGCTATCACCCGCGACTCCGTTTGCGTAGTAATAAAAAAAAATGAGTAGCCAATGTGTTCTTCCACTCTATCCTCTAAATCAATACCAAATTTTATCGAAATCCATTCAGCCGTTTAGGCTACAAACTCTAACAAACATCCATCTAAATTTTCGCATTTATAATAGTATTAGCTTTCGTTCGCGACTCCGTCCGCGCGGAATAAAAAAAAAACAAAATTAAGTAGCCTATGTGTTCTTCCAGACTATCCTCTACATATATGTCAAATTTCATCGAGATCCGTTCAGCAGTTTAGGCTACAAACTCTAACAAACATCCATCTAAACTTTCGCATTTATAATATTAGTATTGAGGTGGCAAACGAGCAAGAGACCACTTAAATTCGCCGAAAAAGCGAAGCGATCGCTGCACAGACATCTGCAATCTGCGTTGTTTTTAATCAACGGAGAAGATATTTCCCCTTCCTATGTCTCCACCTTTCCGTCTAAGAAAATGGTGGAAAAATGACTAAAATGAATCGATTATGTGCTTAGAAGAGATAGTTAAGTTCATATTTCATTCACAGGATGATCCTTGGGCTGGCCTCTCTTACACCGTGGATACTGAGACGGGTAAGTTAGTTGTAATAACTTAAATTTTGACTATATAGACCCCGGCTTCGGTTACAATGTTAAAAAAATGTGTTTATTTACATGACGAACTGTCGCCCGTAAACTTTGTTAGCGTGAATTATAAAAAAACGAGCTGTTGCCCGCAACCGGACACCTCGGGGACGAAGCTTAGCCCATGTATAGTCCAGACTTTGTTTAACATCTGTGCCAAATCGCAATAAGATATGTTGAACCGTTGCAGAATGATCGAGTAAACATTAAAAAACTAAATTAATGAATCCCACGGGAACCGTAACTTATACCGGGATAAAAAGTAGCCTATGTGTTCTTCCACACTATGCTCTAAACCTGTGCCAAATTTCATGGAGATCCGTTCAGCCGTTTAGGCTACAAACGCTAACAAACATCCATCCATCCATCCATCTAAACTTTCGCATTTATAATATTAGTAGGATGGTTGTCTATAACATTCCTGTGTGCATCTACCTTCTACTAGCTATCTTTCAAAGTTCCGTCCAAATCGGTTTTCAGTCAAAGTCCCGTCCAAATCGGTTCCAGAGATAGCGCTCAGGTCGCCATTTTGACAGCGCGGAATTAAAAAGAAGTAGCCTATAACATGCGGGTCTATGTCAGCTACCTTCAGTGAAATTCCGGTCTAAATCGGCCCAACTGTTACGGAGATTACCCGGAACAAACGCGGCTTGCGGACAGACAGACAAAAAAATTTAAATGCGATTTTTGTAATCAACAACGCAAATACATCTTTCCGAAATCTGGAATTTTTCTTTTGATATTACAAACAGACACTCCAATTTTATTACATGTATAAAAGATATACATAGATTAGAAATTTTTAAAATTAGTATTTCTCTATGTTATATACTAGTTTCCCGCGTATTCGTCGGCGTGAAATAGATAATATTAAAAAGTATAGCCTATGTTATTCACTGATAACGTAACTTTCAGAGCCAGATTTTGAGTTATTTCAATACATACAAAAATACAAATCTTTCCTCTTTATAATATTAGTATAGATTTTGTATGTATATTCACGCAAAAACTACTAAGCCGATTTAAAAGATTCTCTCACCATAAAGCTACGTTATCTGTAACATAGGCTATATTTTTTATTATTTTTTTAAATCCACGCAAAGTCGTGATATACAATGTAGTATACGAATAACAATACTCCAATAATACATAAAACTATTTGAATAAACTCAAGAGACATAAAATTACCCCTCAAGTTTCATATATATAGGGGTGAGTCCCCTTATGTAACGAATACTACCAGTTAGGGGTCGCTACCCTTATTGACTACTGCTTTTTATATTGTATTGCGAAAGATCGATTTTAAGAACTTGTGTTTTTTTATCTATGACTAGCTGTTTCTCGCGACTTTGTTGGCGTGAATATAAAAAATGTAGCCTATGTTACTGATAACGTAGCTATTTATAAGTATAACAATTTTTACATAAATACAAATCTTTCCACTTTATTAGTATAGAAGAAAGCAGTGGTATATATTCTAGCTGTTGCCCGCAACTTCGTCTGCGCATTAAAAAAAATGCGAACTTAAAAACAAAATACACTTCGGGAACTTGACGTATTTCGGGGATGAACCATGTGTTGCTTTTTGTTGCTTACCACCAACTTGCCCTTATCCCTTACGGAGGGTCGGCACAGTATGTGCTCTTCCATACATCTCTATCAGTCATATCTGAATACACTCCTTTAAGCATATCCTCTTTCACACAATACTTTCTCCGGTCTTCCTCTACCTTTGTAGCACATTCAATCTTAACACTTTCTGGTTTATGTGATCGTTATGTCATGTCCATACGCTAACCTTTTGCTTCTCTATTTCTCCTCTACTGGCGCTACTTCCAAACTTCCTCTTATATATTCAGTTAACATGACTGTTACCTAGTAAACATTATCACCAGCACTACACGTCCCCACCGAGGTGCTCGGAGCCTACCCTAAGTTAGTGACTAGGACATAGTCAACCTGCACTGCGTGACTTCACACATATCTTTGAATATCTTCGCCGATATGTGCAGGTTGTATCACGATGTTTTCCTTTACCGTAAGAACGTCGGGTAAATCACATTGGTACAGCGGGATTCGAACCCAAGACCTGTAGATTACAAGTCAAGTGCTTAAACCACTGAGTTGGCGACGATCCGTATCTGATCTAGTAAACATGAGAAAACCAAATTAATATATCTCAAGGGAACAATAACTATTCCCGAGATCAAAACATTCTGTGTTCAGACTATCTCTACATGTATGACAATCAGTTTCGGCTACTAAGGGCCTGTCCCACCAAATTGTAAATAGTCTGATAATTCAACGTGTGAAATATGTCGGAAAACGGATTTTGTTCCCTTATGACAGTGACGTTATAAGCTATCTGAGCCTATTTAGTGGTGGGATAGGCTCTAATTCTAGCAATCATCCAACTATACTTTCGTACTTTTAATATTAGTAAGACTAGCTTTCGCCCGTGACTCCGACTGCGCGGAATTATAAAGATTATGTACTGTTCTTCTAGACATTTTTCTATTTTTTCTTAAAATGTTAGTAGATTTTTGTTAGTCTATATTAATATTATAAAGAGGAAAACTTTGTATTTTTGTATGTATTGAAATACCTCAAAAACTACAAGGCTGATTTTAAAAATTCTTTTACCATTAAAAAGGTAATTTATCTGTGAGTAACATAAGCTATATTTTTTGTTATTTTTAAATTACACGCGGGCGAAGTCGCGAGCAACAGCTAGTTTATTAATATTTCCTTTAACCATTCCAACTAAGCTGTAGGCTTGTGCTAGGACTGTCTACGACAATAGTGGTGGCGGGATTCGAACCCTCGACCTCAAGATCGGTACCCTGAACCACAAACCATTAGATTATTTGTGCCAAATGTTATCGAGATCCGTTCTCATATTTTAATCAAATTTTACTTTATTCGTTTCTCTTTTGTATATAAAATTCGTTTACTATTCTTTCGGGCATTTTCAGCTGAGTCACGTGACTAATGATGACTTTACGGGGGGTAACCTACCCCTAGGGCAGGTTTGGAGATACAATAATCGATAATCATACTAATATTATAAATGCGAAAGTTTAGATGGATGTTTGTTAGAGTTTGTAGCCTAAACTACTGAACGGATTTCGATGAAATTTGGTATAGATGTAGAGGATAATCTGGAAGGACACATAGGCTACTTTTTTTTAATTTAACGCGTATGGAGTCGCGGGCGAAAGATAGTGTTATCTATACTATTATAATAAAGCGTAAATACACACTTCTTTGTTCCCTAAGATGTCAGCAAATACAGCATATTTTTGAATACTTCATTTTTTAATAAAAAGCCTTACACTTACGTCATGCTTTAGGCTATATATTTTCACGCAATTAAACTTAGGGAACAAATGTCTTGGATAAAAAGCCTAATGTGGGAAAGAGACCATGAGTTGCTGCCAACATCAAGAAGGAAAGATTGTTAGGTTTTTCATGGCATGTCATTTTGACATTTGCAATTGATAATTTGACAAATGTGAACAATAAAATATAATTTTCAAGATTTCATGCGGATGAAGCCGCAAGGAACAGTTATTTTATAATATTAGTAAGATGTAGAGGAAAGTCCGGAAGAATATAGTTTAATAAATATACTAGCCCTTGTTAGTGACTTTGCGTATTATGGCAAAGCGTTTTTTGCTATTCCGGAGTGTGTGTTTGTGTGTTTCAAAGGAAAATAATTTTGTTAGAGATACCCGCAGGCAAAAGTAGTGAACATATTTACTAGATAGGAAAATAAATTTTTAGGGGATGAAAATCCGTGAGAATGTTATAGTAAAATAAACTGAAGTTATGATTTGAAGAATTTTTTCGAACAAAAAGACGCAAAAAAAATCTTATAATAAAGTCGATTATCTTTGAAATTTCGAGAAGGACACGTATTTGGATGCCGGCGTCCGTAATGAGTTTGAAATGACCGTTTTAATTTGAACCCTGTAACTGGTCTGGATATGAAAAATTCCATATAATTTTAATGTGGTCTTACAAATCGATGGGTCAATTTAAACTGGCGGTGTGTGGAGATTTCCATTTTTATTCGACCCGTCTCACCTTGTAAGTCCGATGAAACTTTTCCTTATTTACAAAGTCGTTATAACAATCGAGGGGTCGGGAATAAATGGTCGGTTTGAAAGTGACAGCCGCGTGTTCGAATTTCAAAAAGAGTCGGCCCGTTTTGTTTTTTTTTTTCGTTTCCCGCCGCCGCGACTTTTCCACAAGTCATCGTATCGGCCAGTGTTCTCTGTGATTAAATGCTTTTTGTTTTTTTTTCTATCTTTCTCTCTCTCTCAAAGGATCATTATTGGAAGTATTGACGGTTATTAATATTCCGTTTGTATTTGCCGAAAGAATTTCTATGATTTGAATTTCGAAGACTATTTAATCCATCTCATTTATCTGTACTAAAAAAGCTAACGAAATTATAAAACGAATTTTCATATAATTTAGTATATAGTCTGTGATATAAACCACAGATTAAAAAACATGGACTAATATTTAATGTATAATCTATACTATTATAATAAAGCGTAAACACACACTTCTTTGTTGCCTATAATGTCAGGAATCACAGTATATTTTTGAATAATTCTTTTTTTAATAAAAAGCCTTACATTTACGCCGCGCTTTAGGCTATATATTTTCACGCTATTAAACCTAGGGAGTAAATAAATTGGAAAAAACTATCTGGAAAAGTCATAAACTACAATCTGCCAACATTAAGAAAGCAAGGTTTTTATGGTAATTGACATATACAATTGAGAGCGAGAAATGTAAACAATAAAATAAAGTTTTTATAATTTCACGCGGGTGAAGCCGCATAGCAACAGCTAGTTGCACTACAATCTGTTCTCATTCAATAATATTCGTGAGTCGTATTGTAAAAATATGATTTATGTCCCAGAGTACATCTT